TGTGAGATGCCATGCAGAAAAAAGAGGATGAGGTTAATTCTAAATGCTCTAGACTTCCACCTGTCTTTACCTCCAGCTGCTTTTTCTTTTCCTATGAAAAGACAGGAAAAATTAGAATTCTCTGATTTATTTGTATGTTTTCTGTTTTCGATTTAAATATTTTAGCTATTTAAGTATTTTCTGTATTATATACTACTTTTAGAGTAAGCTGTAAGGCTGCAGAAAATGCCGAGCCAGATAGCAGAGCAGCCTTGATTCCAATAAGGTAATTAAAAGCAGTACAGAGTCAATCCTGTCCAAAATAAATTTGGGGTGAAAGTACATTGCTTTGATCTTAGTCTGGAGAGGGGAGGCTCTTTCTAAAGGATACCTTTTGGATAGCAAACTTCTACAACTGTCAGAGTCTAGGAGGAATGATGCAAAATAATCATACCCACTCTTTTGTTTTACAAACAGACTGATAATGTGTTCCCCATCGTCTAGAAGTTCTCTCTTGGACCTGAACTACTCCCTCTCTCACCCTCTGAGATCCATTTTTATTTGTTGCTGCCATCTCCAGTCTAAGCAGCTCCTTACTCCACGTTAGATGGACATCAGCAGGCAGCTCACAGAAGTGCAGAGAATCTCTCAGTTCTCGATTTCTTTTGCCATGCTAGTGAGGAGCAATAGCTGTTGAAAATGTCCTGTACAGACCCTGGATTCATGACTGGAACAAAGACAATGCAAAAGCAAATTCAGCAAATTTAGTAGCTCAGCTCTCACAAGTCTCTACTTACAATGTATAAACTAAGGATTTCCAGAGCTTACAATGTGGCCAAATTTGGACTGGGTTATGACAGAGGAAAATGCATAACCCTCATTTATATCAGGAATAGTTAGTCTTTAAAAAAAATGATTTTAGGGATACTATTAACACATACAAAAAACAATGCCAGTTTCTCATCCTCATAAATTACTGGATCTTATCAGAAATCACTGTGAGAGAAAGTTCCCGTAAAGAAGCCAATTAATCCTAAAGCAGCACAGAAAATTTCCACTGGAATGGTTACCATTTGGCCAAACTACAAGCAACTGGAACCGGATCTTAACATGGAAAGCATCCTTTAACCCTAAACAGAGACACTGCTAACAGATCTGCCCATAAACAACAACGACCTAAATATCTTCCACATGTAACACAGTAAGAAACATTTGTCTTCGGGTATACTTTAAAACCAGCACGCACACTGTTACCCAGCTGTGACCTCAACATACTGCAGCGAAACTCTAGAGGAAATCAGGAAAACAGTGGCAACTGAACTATGCAATTGCTTTCCAGGGGAAGGACACTGGAGGTTTGCAGAGCTCTCCCTTCCACAGAGCGATGGGCAGTGTTATCAGAACCTTGGACAGCACTGAAGGGACGCCACCAACGCGGCGCTCGGCCCCGCCGGCTCCGGCCACTCTACCCACGGGACCGCAGGCACTCGCCCGGCCCCCAGCACACCCTCCCTCCCTACCCCGCTGCCACTGCCACCCCCAAATACCAAGGGGGTGTATATTGCATAGGGAAGCCTTAGGGATTTTAAGAAGGAAGTGAAAAGGCATGGGAAATTCGCTTCTTCTGCATTACTTCATAAACCCCTCCCCCCCGCCCCCCGAAATTTAACACGAACTTAGGGTACTGTAAGAAGACAGCAAATTCTAAGCCAACATAAAACAACGATATAGATAAGGCCAGGTAAAAACAAAGATTTAAGGTAATTTTGGGTACAGCCTCCCATTTTTAATACTTTTTCATTTGCAAATAAAGGGGAGTTTTTTGGAGTCTCACTGTGCAAACACTCACACCAAACTCAAAATATAAAATCAGCTGCTATATAAAGATTGTGACAATGGTATTAACTGCCTGGGGTTTTATTTTTTGTTGGTTGCATTTAAAAATGTATTTTACAAGTGCTTTAGGCAAAACAAACCTAAATTATTAGAAGCAGTAAAAATTCAGAACTTTGCAAACATTTAAGCTTACTTCTCACAACTTGCAAGAAAGCTCTTTAAAAATCTGTCCACTTATGATGAAAAACCAACTCTCTATTCCCTTTTAATAAAAAATAGACCTTAAAAAAAAGATCTGATCACTATTGTTTGAAAGCACTCGAAAGCAATAAGATGGTCACAAGACTTGATCTGACTGTTCTGCCCCTTTACAAACTCAATAAAGCTTGCTTTTTATGACTGATTGCTGTGCTGTATTAATCCCCTAGCATATAAAACAAGCCTATTGGAGACTGCGACTCCACTGGGGGAGGACAGGGAAGCTGTTGTGTTCTGAGAATTAATCCATCTAGGAAAATCAAAAGCCAGCCACTCACAATACAGTAATCAGCATGTTCTCCACTGTGAAAGCCCTGCATTTCCCATTTAGAAAACACAACTATTACTCCTTTATGTAGTGAAACACACAAAACGCTTTTATTTATTTGTGTTTGTTATTATTTGGCTTATATTTATGGGTTTGTGAGTATTCCATTGGTGGGTAGGTGGGTGCACAACCATCAAGTTTTTTTTTTTAAAAAAAGTCTATTCCCAACTGCTTAAAAGGAAAAAGGGACTCCCACTGCTTTTTCCACAACCGAAGTTCTTTCTGGATTTGCTTTGTGAACAGGATTTTAACTCTTTATTAGCCTAAATAGAAGGAAATTCTTTGCATTTTTTTCCCTAAACAAAGTTCATTTTCTTCTCAGGATAATTATGTTTTTTTTTTTTTCCTCACTTTGTTAAATTATCTAACATAAGTTCCCTAAGTAGTGGTGCTGAAATAAAAATGTTTGAGGTTTTATAATTACTCAATTGAAAATTACATCACTTTATTTCTAGGTGCTATTATATTTGATGTTCCCTTGTTAGCAAAAATTTAATTCTTTCCTTTTAAAGTTGAATGATGCAGCCTTCCAAATAAAACCTTTTTTTTTTTTTTTTTTTTTAAGAGTAGAATTCTATTTTTTACCATTTAAGTGCTAGAAGTATGAATTTTCCATTCTGCTATGGAGATAAAGATTAAAAAACCCAAACAAACCCAGCTGTAAATCTTATGTGACACAGTAATTAAACTGCTAAATGAGTTCTGGCCTAAACACAAAAATTAAGGCTTCTGGAAACCATTGAGAAACCACAATCTGATAGACCATGTGCTCAAGAAGAACCAAAACCATATATCCTTCTCCATTCAGCTACCAAAAGGCACCTACCTGTATAAGAAATTACTTTATAAACCAGCACTTAAACACAACATGAAATGTTCCTGTCAAATTATTTTACAAAAGCAAATAAAGCACCTTAGTTATATTCATATTTATTCTTTGCTAAAACAAAGAGCACATTTCTCCCCTATTTGTTTTTAAAGTAAGAAGTCACTACAAGCAACAAAAGTTATAGTCTTTGTTCCTATTGCCATTATCCCTTTATCCACAGCCTTTACTTAATAAAGACAGCAGTTTTATATCATTGCCTTTAAAACCAACAGGTGACTAAAATCCCACTAGGTCAATTCAATAGTCCCACCTGATCAGCATGGTAGACATGGAAATCTTACAGTTAACTTGAAAAGATCTTAGCAGTCCGGCTATACTCCCCACCAGTTTTAAGCATTACTATATATTTCCCATAGTTCAAAGTACCATGTGGGTTTTTTTAAATTTTTAAATCAAAAAGCGAATTGGAGGAGCAAAAGCTGATGCACATGGCTGAGTGTCTGTTACATGTACACGTAGTTTTAGGACATAAACCTCCCTTTCCATTTAAGAATGGCATTAAATGACAATGATGACATGAACAATTTAACTTTCCTGGGACCTTCCTGTTAGACACAACTGAAGATAACCAAATGACAACAAGGATATACAAGTGCTAGTAATATCAAGCTGTTAATTCTTGTTTTGCTTAAGCATAGAGGATTACATTTCCTGGCTACCAGGGGAAAGCTATGGCACACACAGAGTTAACCGTGCCCCCCCGCCCTTTCTTCACCCCCCCTTCTCCCCCATCTCATTCATGCCACATTCCACAGTGGCAGGGTCCAACAACAATATAGGAGGGTACCCAAAATGAAGAGGCAGGGCCTTCCATTCTTCTGCCTCTCTTGAATTAATTAACTGGAAATGAGTTTTGTCAATGTTTTGGAAAGGCAGAGGGGTGAAAAGAAACTGCTAGAATTAATCACAGTGAGAAACTACCTCTTCAGCAGTCTGCCAGAGTTCAGAAAACCCATGAGAAGTGCAAAATAAAAGGAAAGTGGGCTGACTTACCATCCAAAGGAACAAATAAAATTCAAACAAACACCCAAGTCTCCAAAACAGAGACATGCCCCAGTGCAAAGGAATGTAGCATCTGTTGCCACAACAGCTTCAGCTTTTTTTTTTTAATATACTTATCATGAAGACTGAAAGGTAACAAGGTAGAAAAGACAATTTACTAATAATTTAAATACACAGAAGGCATGTTGTGTTCAATTCACTAAATATTTATGTAGATCCAATGTTCCACTGATCCTTATATAAGCAGAGATATTTAAGCACTGTGATTGAAAATGAGTAACTTTTATTGTTTAGCCCTGACTCAGCATGGATCTTTTAAACGGAGAAGGCAGACTGCAAAGCAGTTATTTCTTTGTTGAGTTTTTAATGATAATTATCTCCAGGTTCAGCAATGGAAATTATAACAACTCAATACTGCACGCATGACATCTTTCTACTAACGAAACAAGAAAATAATGAAATTTCAACCATATGAAAAGAAGGATCTTCTTCCATAGGTTGATTTATCTAGGTATTCAGAAAATGTGTAGGTATCCTTCTGTTTATGACAGTGAGGCAGAAGTATCATTTGGCAGTTTTTCTGAGAATGAACGTAACACTTCCAGCAGACTGGAACTAAAACTGAAGAAATCTTGATTGCCTGAGCAGGGAAAAATACTTTAAAAGAGAAATCCGCTTTTAATGATTTGACTGTTCTTAATTTTTTGTTCACGAGGGCTTTTTCCTGACAGATCTCAGAATTAACTTGTCATCTCGTTTCTCTATCTCTAAACCCATACTCTCAAGGGCAGAATTGTCTGCCAGCCCCTTCTCCTCCATCTGTGCAATAAGCTCTTGGTTTCTCTCATTCTGTTCAGTGAGATTTCGGATAGCATATACTGCCCACTGGTTCACAACTGTTGGACAAAGTTAAGGATCATTTATTTATTTAAAGATGAAACAATGCTTATTTGAATTTATTACTGCATTCCCCTCCTCCTGCCGCCCCCCCCCCAATCCCTCAAACCCAGAAAAACAGTAGAAAACAAGGGTTAGAAAAAGTAAAACATTTACGTGCAATGACTCTGAACCTGCAAATACTTGCATATGAGGTAATTTAAGTTTAAATGAGGTATGTCCATTAACTTCAGGCAAGTTTACTAGGTTTTATCTTGAAAAAAAAAAAAAAAAAAACAACAAAACACAAAGGAACTGCAGGAATTAAAAGGACATATTGTTTTAAACCAAAATTACAGTTAATTGAAATGTTCCAATGATCTTCCTACTGAGATTTAAAAAAAAAAAAAAAAAAGAGTCAGTCACTGTGTTTACGATCCGAACACTTCAACACTACACTTCCAAGAACTGGTAAACAAAATGAGCTGTAAATCAGGTACAAGAAAGATGACAACTATTATTTTCATTGTGCAAGTTGAAGAAATGTAGAAAAAGAGAAACGCATTTTATCCAGGTTAACAATTGAAAATAGCACAAATAATGTGGGAGACAGTTAAAAATATTTAACTTCTAATGTTATCTAAACTCAGTTCTTTGTGCCTGTGTGCTTTTACAAACTTGCCAACAGAACAGACACTAAGATCACCAGCAGGTAGCTCCTGTTCATGTTTAAATGGGCACAAGCTACAACTCATTCACCTTCTAAGGTGGTCCCTTGAGGCCAGGATTGAGGCACATGTCAGGGCCATAGACAAAGGATTTAAATTCCCAGGATTATCAGCCAGGCATCTTCCAAGCGAACTACAGTGTTCATTTTATGAAGCGTCAGAGATGTTAGCCCCAATTCTGCAGCTGAAAAGCTATGTTATGATATAATCTTTCCCAGGTTACCCATATGGGAGGCAAGCCATTCTGAATCACACAAAAGTGGTTTGCCTGCAGGGCACCAATTATTTACTACATGTAGCTTCACATCCAGTAGAAGAGTATGCATAATTTACTCATCTCCTTGACGTCTTTTGGGTTGGACAGTGTCTAAGCACAGAGATAAGATAGTGTTCTTATGGGCATTTGCCAGGGGGTGACTGGAGGGGGAAAACTCCTCAGTTGTGGAAGATGGCAACTTCAGCCAAAACAATAAAATACAAGAACTGGACTTTCTTACACCATCTACCGTGACAGCATTTGGAAAATCCAGTACCACTGCACGCACATTCTTACAGTAGCAGTCTTGCCATTTTCTCTGTGCACCTTGCACTGACTGTTGTGCCTACCTTGCTGCCACCTCCAACTGCCCCTCAGGCTTATACACTTTCAGCAGAGGCAGTCTTTCATGCTGGGTTGTTGGAGGCACCAGGCAATGTGGATGAACAGCAGCATGTAGCAGATGCAGCTTTCTTGATATAAGACCAGGTCCTGCCTTCACAAGCTTACATTCTAAGAGAGGGGAAGTGATAAACTGAGAATACAGGAGACCAAAAAAAAAAGTTTATGACCAAACCTAACCACAGCACTACTTAGATGCCAAAAGAGAATAGAGAAGGGACTGAAATAAGAAGCACACGAGTAACCCTCAACAAAGAAAGAAGGGTTTAGATGAAGAGTAGCTTGGACAAACATCACAAGAAACATACACACTAGGGAACAATCGTGCACCGGCATGCATCAGTGAAACAACCCCTGCCTTTTAATACCAGTTTATATTTATTTTCACACTCAAGCAGCCCAGAACTCAAAATCAAAAATGGCAAAGCAGTAACAACTATAGGGCTTTTTTCCAACAGAGTTCTTCAGACTTTTGTCAGGAAACATGCTGCACTCCTCCTTCGTTTAAAAAATTCTGGTGTGAGGTAATGACAGAGGAGAAAAATTAAGAAAAAAAAAATTATATGTCACATCAAAGCCTTAATAGGTGAACATGAGAGAGAATATCAATGTATTCTCTTCTGTCAGTGCATCACTACTATAGTTAAGTGAAAAGACAAGTGCCAAGCTACATTTAAGTTACATAAGCTGAATATTTCCACTGAAGATTACATTCGAGTATATAAAACAACAATAAAATACCAACTAAATAAAATCATATATGAGCAGAATCTCACTCATCAGCTCCAATGGTGAGAATAAATTTCAGAATAGTAAAGTATGCAGGCTGATGAATGCAAACGAACAAAGGCTGATACCTGGCATGTCTTGCAGAGGTCTGATTTAGGGCATTTCACGAGTGCCAAAAAGTAACATGAAGTTCTCCCAATGGACCGTGAGAAACATGCTACCACCCTCCCTGGCTCTGCTCCTGCGATGAGGAGCAGACTTGTCTTGTTGTATTCCTAAAACACAGCTCTGCATAAAATACAGCACTTGCATAACAGAATACCTCCTAAAAAAATACAAATAATTTTCAAAGAGTGACAGTTCTCAATCACGCGAAGTGCCACACAGAGAAAAAAGTACTCCCCCCCAAATTTTTTTTGTATATTAGCCTTGGGAATAATCCTGTTACCATCATCTTTATGTCTTTCAACACAAAAACACCGCTAAACCCCACAGCAAATGATGTTTTCCTATTATCACATCCATTCATGCTTACATAATATCTAAGACATCCCCATTATCTTATGAACTCTATCATCATTATGGCATTTATCATTATTGACTACTGTAGCTGAAGCTGCAAAATGGTTTCAATAACGTTTTCACTCATTCAAAAACTCTTTTCTGTATGTAGGTTTTCCATTGTAAATTCAGTCATGAATATGCATGATTTCCCTTGTTCGCATGCTGTGTGAGGCTAAGACCTTTGGATGGCTGTGTGCAGACCTAGACAGACTTAAGTGTCAGCAGAGATTAAAGCTAGTCCCCAGCTAATATTCACATTACCCTCTTGCTCCTCTCCAAAGATAGAGACACAGAGAGAAAATTAAACATATTCTAGAGTCTCTAATCCTACCAACACTTTAAGCACTTTATTGTATGCTCAGCTTTAGAAAGAGAGCTTCTAAAGTTTCCATAGTTACTACATATAAGAGCATGAGCCTGTTTGTTGTGAAACTGCATGAAAGAAAAGAAATGCAGCAAGCACAGTAGATATGGTTGCGTAGACTTGTCCAGATTTTTCCAACAGGACATTATTGCACTCTCAAATTAATTAATATTATAGACAAGTGAAGATTACAATATCCTTGTCACAGTGCAGAGGGCATACAAAAGAAAGAAAAAATTTCATTTTATTTTGCAGGAGCTTTGTTACTAGACTACCTATGTTTAGGGAATGAAAGCAAACATTTGCACGCATTTATAGCAACTCTTTTTTAAAATCCTTCAGTACTGTATGCTATTCCTATGTTATTTTGACTTATACAAACAATAGTAAAACTGAATCAACTTGCCCTGTGTTCCATACTTCTGTAACATCTTCATGCAGCAATTTAAAATTTATAATCTAAATTCTGCTGGGTCATAACTTCAATTGTCAGGGAGGGAGGTATACAGGGAGAAAGGAATAGACGTAGAGAAAATGTGCTAGCAATCTGCCTTAAAGGATGAAAAATTTTACTATCTGGAATCAACATAAACCAAGAAAATCTATGCCACTAAATCCTGTGAAAGTTTTGCCACTGACTGCAAAGGGAACTTTTCACAATTCTCTTGTTTCTTTTCATATGGATTCTGCTACAAGACGTTGCTAGAGTCAATGCTAGCAATAGCACAGTGACTGTTTTATAAGTTTAATGGTGTGTGAAAATACAACCGCATACTGTCAGGAGTAGCTCACCAATATCCTATTGCGATGCATTACTGGAGAGGAGGACTTGCAAACCATTTCCCAAACAGAGTATTCCAGCTTTTCATTCTTATATTAGGAGGTTCAATTTGGACTAAATGTTATTGGCAAGTCTCTTGCAGCCATCAGGACCTCTATGAATTGTTCTATAAAACAAATTGGATTCTATGGATGAAAGACAGTAAACATAATTATTAATAAGGTTTGAATCTGACAAGGTAGATATACAGCAATGCATAAGTAATGTTGAAAGTATGTTGCTTGGAAAAGGCAAACAGTACGTTTTAGAAGTTAAGTATTATCATTAACTAATACAGGATACTGAAGAGTGGTGACAAGGAAAATGAAATACATACATCTGTTTTCTTAAGTCCCTGTGATATTTATTAATACTGAGGAATTTCTAAATATAACATCCTTTGTGGAGAGTTTGATTTATTACATAGTGTAGATACTTTTTTTTTTTAGTTAGACTATTTCCTGTACCACAGTTGATTTTCAATAATTAAATGATTACTTAGGAAACTCTCTTCTGTAAGAGTCATTTGGCTTAATGAGAAAAAGAGGATATTCTTCGCCCAATTCTATTACCTCATTTAAATTAGAATTTTGACTATTTAAATATTAACTTAATTTTAATCAAATATAGGAAGAGATACAAAACCTTATAAAGAAAGACAACCCACATGGGTTGCAACCCTAGTCAAATGGGCTCTTTATGCAACAGCTAAAGCCACCCTACTTCTCTAAGAGCTTTTCTGGAACAGGTCTATAGGGCTAAAACCCAGAGATAATGAAAATACAATTCTTGTTAATTATATTTCTTTCCGGTCTTCAACAAGCAATCCAATTATCACTAAAACTTCTGTAGACAGGAATGAAATACTAAAGCGTCACATTAGAAGAATTACTTCCACTTACAGACCTGACTGGACCACACTGAAAAGACATAAACCATTTCCCCTTCAAGTCTTTCAGTCCTTTTAAGTACTTTTGTTTCACAGCAACTTGAAGATAATTCTTCTCACCATTAAAAGAGGTCTCTAGACAACTGTTAATCACAGTTCAGATCAATGTGTCGTGATTGACCACACGTAGTAGACAGTCAGGATTTTGGTCCCTTACAGTCAGCCAAATTGCTTACAAAGCTCTACAAGTTTCTTCCTGTTAGGGGTT